TTTTTAGACATAAAAAAATTACAAACATGGTTGACAAAAATGATAAACACGATACACAAAAATAACAAAGTTTACAAACATTACAAAAAAAACCGACAAACATTACAAAATAACAAAGCGTACAAACATTACAAAAAAACCGACAAACATTACAAAATAACAAAGCGAACAAACATTACAAAATAAACCGACAAACAATACAAAGCATACTAACAGTACAAAATCTCTCTCACTCTCTCTCTCTCTCTCTTAGCTGTTGGGAGGATAAAAACTTTGTTTGGGGAAATTAAATCCCACAGCCAGAAGCTTTTGGGTGGGGAAATAAATCCCACACGCCTGGAAACGGCGGCGCAGAATGAGGAGCCGCCGGAAAATCTCAAAAAACGAAACGGTCGTGTGGACAGGGAGAATTACATTGTTTTTTTAATTGTCAAATAAATTAATTATATAATTACCACATTACCCTTCATTAAAATAAATTAATCTGAACCATTGGATTTTAATGAGGTGGAAGGGTTGAGATTGACTTAGTCATGTGACTAAGGCCCCCTCTTAGTCACCTGATCCTAGCCCCTTTTCCGACATTGGAGTAACCGGGTAAAGATGGTCACATCACATGGGCAGTAAGCTAAACTCACAAAACTGATCACTGCAATTTTTATTTCTTTGGAATTCCAAGGATTTGTTTAATTATACAACCAAACTGTGACCTTGACGGCTTGACCTATCAGATATTTTGATTCCAGGTTAAACGAATTTGTCGTGGTTTCAAATAACTTATACTACAGTCATTTTGATGATCAAATTAAATAGTGAAGATATACTCTATAAATAGCCATATAGTACAAAAAGGAAAGGACCATGGTACCTTCTTGTAATATTAGGAGTCAAGTAACTGGTTTACGTGAAAAGAATAGAAGTTTATGATGGATTTTAAATGTCAAATAATCATTATATGATTTTTTGATATCACCGATTTGAGAGTTTCCCTGGTAATTATGAATAATTTGAATGAAGAAAATTAATTAAGATAGATAGAGTGGTTATCATATTATACTCATTTCCGCAACGAATCTATTATAGTTAGCGACTTAGCGTGTAATTTGTAAGTTACCTTAGAGTAGTTCATTGGCCATTGATGTAATGAAGCCCTTGTTTTTTTATTATGATTTTTCGAGAATATATAAATTTGATAAGGTGGATTATATATATTGTGACTTGTCTCTTGCTATCAATGAAATAAATTAAAAAAGATTATTTAAAACATACAGAGTCGGTAAAATCATCTACCATTACATAAACCGCTTGAATAAAAGTTATCATCGACCTCTCAATTAGGACTGGGAAACGGTGCGGTCTGGTCCAGACCAGACAATATACACGGTCTGTGGTTCAGACCAAGAGGGTAAAACAGAGACCATGGATCAGACCATAACCTATACGGTCCAGACCAAACCACACCTGTCCGCTGCGGTCTGGTACGGTCTGGACTGAGTAGACCATGTTCAAAAAAACCTGTATTATCCAATGTTAAATATTAGCTAGTGACAAATAAAAAACATATTGACATCTAATCCGACAAAGTTCAAAAGTCAACATAACACCAACAATTATTTCAAGTCTACAACCCAACATAACATGAGATTAAGAATCAACAACATCCATAGTTCAATACTAATAAGTTCAACAAACTACAAAGTGCAAATTCAATGGAAGGCAGGCGGAGGTGGAGGTCGACGACGAGTAGCAGCAGGTCGATGTTTCCTTCTTGCCTCACTCTTGCGAACTCTCTCGACGACGATTGGGAAGCAGCAGTTGAAATGGCGAAAGAGCTCAGCTAGCGCTGCGACTTCGATGGTCAATGGCGGATCGATGGAAATGGTGGATTTTGATGGGGGAAATCGTGTGACGGAGCTGCTGGGAATAGCTAGGTTTTTTGGTGGGGGAAGGTGAGCTGGCGAGGCGACTGGAAACCCAAGGTTGCGTGCGAAGTGCGACCTGCGGGCTGCAAGTGCAGAGTTGAGACTTTGGGGAGAATGGAATTGGGCTTGGACCATTGGAATTTGGAAGGTTGGAGCAGTCGAGTTGGGCTCAGCCCAGACTTAATTTTGGTCACGGTCTAGACCAGATCAAACCGTTCCATACCGCAAGTAAAAGAGGCAAACCACGGACCAGACCAAATTGTATTATTGGTCTAACAGTCCGGACCAAATCGTACGGTACGATCTAAACCGCGATTTGTCATACGATTTGGTCTGGATTCCCAACCCTATACGCTCAATTAAGATTACAACTAACATACCTTCCACTCCCTTGCTTAGAAGAACAAAAGGACTCTCATCCCCGGCAAAAAGAGATGATTATGTCCGGCAAAATGGGCACTAATCACTTTGTCCGTACAATTTACATGGAGAAATAATGGTGATGGGATATAAACGATTCACCATCACCATCTTTGTGGATTAATAGTGGGGAATTTTAGAGATCTTTAGGATTAGTGGCCAACTAATTATTAATTAATTAATACGAACAATCAATTGAATTCCATTGTGCCACGTCTTAATTAATATAGGATTAATTTTTGAGAATCTAGAAGCTTATTACTTTGTAATCTTGGGAAGGCTCATGCTAGGGGTGGCGGTCGGTTACTTTCGATTATAACCGGTAATCGATCGGTCGGTTATCGATTAATCGAAAGGCGGTCCCCCAATCAACAACCGACCGAAATAGACTTCGGTTATCGGTTAACCATGTCGCCTCCAAAATCAAAACCATTTCTTCCAGCCTCCGAAAATCGACCGAATTTTGGTTATATCGGTTACCGGTTAGTGAATAACCGATTGATTACCGGTTTAACCGACCAGTTAACCAGTAACCGAACCTCCACCCGTACTCATGCCCCATGGGCCATGGAGAATAGTTTCAAAAGTTGCATGACTATGTCAAATCTCACTATTCATTTAACTCACTAAAATATTATTATTCCCCCTACTCAAACTCAAGATTATAGGTGTCAATCGGGCGGGTTCGGGCGGGTTCAGGCTGGGTTCAATCGGGTTCGGGTTCAAACGGGTTGCGGGTTAGTCGGGTTACGGGTTCATCGGGTTCGGGTTCATCGGGTTCGGGTTCAAACGGGTTGCGGGTTAGTCGGGTTGCGGGTTCATCGGGTTCGGATTCAATCGGGTTGCGGGCAAATCGGGTTGCGGGTTCATCGGGTTTTGGGTCGGGCGGGTTGCGGGCAGGTCGGGTTTCGGGTTGTTCGGGCCAGCGCATCAAGTAACTTAACTCATTACTCATTACCAACTTACACATTTTATTACACTAATTTAAAATATTTTCTCAACTTTTTAACCAATTTATTTCTACCTCGTATATATACACTTTATTTTTTTGAAAAAAACTAGTCAAAATGTTAAATCAATTTGTATAACTTGCACCACATATCCTATACTTTACACCACATACCTTGTACCCTAACCACGTACCATAAACATAAATTAAAAAGAGATCTCCTGCCGTTAAAGACTTCAAATGACTTCAAGTGAACATATGTTAATAAAAAATTTAGAACCGTCAAAACCATCAATATCTTATACCCTAACCATATACACCCTAAACCATATGTACATTATACCTTATACCCTAACCATATACTTTATATCCTAAACAACGAACCGTCAAAGATTGCTTATCAAGTTTAGTATAAATTGTTGTAACTAATGGTTAATTTATTTATTAGCCCATAAAAAATTACATACATATATACATATTAGCCTTCAAAGCATATAAGAATAATTTTAACTAGTCATGCCCTCCATATAAAAGTTAAAGATTCATATTTCAAAAGCTAAAATTATGAAAAACCAAAAAATTGAAAACTCCAAATTTGTTTCCTTATTTCTTTTCACAAAAATACTAAAATTTCCCTCCTTCTTTCTCCTTCCATACATTAGAAAACTCAATTTTCCCTCCTCTTTCTTTTCCATAAAATTGAAAGAACCAAATTACCTTTTTCTTTCCTTCTACAAAAAGTTGAAAAGTCAAAAGTTTCCCTCCTTATTCCTCTTTCATAATCAAAAGAATCAAACTTTCCCACTTCTTTCTCTTCCCACAATATCAAAACGACCAAAATTCCCACTTGTTTCTTTTCTAAAAAATTTAAAGAACCAAATTTCCCTCTTCTTTCTCTTCCCAAAAACTTGAATACACCAGAATTTCCCTCTTCTTTTAAAAACATCAAATTACCAAATACATTACTTTACTTTATTTATATTTAATTGATAATTTTATTGAATAGTTAAATTAACCAAAATTTTAATTTATATATTATATTAATATTGTCATGATCTCAAGTTACCTTCATGTTTCAATTTTTGTAATTTTCTTAAAATACGTAATATCAAGTGAGTTCATATTTTTAAAATTTCTTATACGAAATGAAAAAATAATTTTACTTAAGTTTAGAATGAAAAACTTTATTTTGAAAAACTATGTATTGTATATTTTTATAATTATTCAAGTGGATTAGATGAAATTCGGGTTGAGTCGGTCGGGTTACGGGTTAGTCGAGTTCGGGTCAATCGGGTTCGGGTTAATCGGGTTGCGGGTCAGTCAGGTTGCGGGTCAATCGGGTTCGGGTTAATCGGGTTGCGGGTTAGTCGGGTTGCGGGTTAGTTGGGTTGCGGGTCAATCGGTTTGCGGGTCGGGCGGGTTACGGGTTGTTGACTTTTAGTCAATTCGGATTGCGGTCGGGTTGCGGGTCGAGTTTATCGGGCGGGTTAATCGGGTCGGGCTATGTTTTGACACCTATACTCAAGATGGTGGAACCAATTATGCACTCTCCTAGAATTTTTGTCCAAACAAATATATTGAGTTGAAAAAATTGAGTTGTGGGGCTTTATCTTTCACATGTTTCCATAGTGCAATCACCATTTCAATGATAATAATATATTAAAATTGTGAGCTTATAGTTTGCCAATAGTTCATGGAATAAGACGAAGAAGATGATCTTTTATGTATTAGTAATATTACATGGCAAAAATAAGAAGGAGCTACAATATTTCATGTGTAGAAGAGAGAATGAGATTGAGGAAACCTATAAAACTAAAATTCCCTTCCCATCCTTTCCTCTCTAAATCCATTGGGTAAGAAAGCAAAATAATTAAAAGACCAACAAATAAATCAAGACAATTTTGTTGGAAAAACAAAAAAGTAAAGAAAAATACAAATAATCCACAATTAGAGACATCTCCTTATCTCTAAAGTAATCACAAATCCTATACTCTGATATCCTTGTATTTTGAGAATTATACTATGAGTCCTTTTGTTCTATCGTCCCCTTTTTCCACCTTTACCTGTTCCTATAGTTATACTACTTTCTGTGTAATATCCAAAGCAGTATCTATGTGTACACCTCACCATGTATTTTCCGTATGCCCTGTTACATGATGTTGTTGCTGAATTGTTGCTGGAGGAACCAATTATCCTCGGTATCCCACAAATTGTCCGACGTGTTTCCTCCGACCATCCACTGTACCGAATTAGTACTGTCGTAAACATCGTTGTTATTCTGATGTTGTTGCGCGTCTTGGAATTGTTGATCCCATACAGGGTTGTAATAATTTATCGAAGGACTTATCAACTGCTCCGTGTACCCTTGAAAGTTGCTCATATAATCAGACGAGTTCAAGTCGGAACTCTGACCATCTGGGACAATATTGTAGTTGTCTGTTGTCATGTCCGATATCGGCGAGACCTGGGTCCCAAAGGAGTCTGTCGATGACGCAGCCATGCTCGAATTCTCGGTAGCAGTGTAGTCTGTCGCCGCTGCTGCCACGTGGGTCGTGGCGGAATCGATCATAGGGGCGGCGGAGGCGCCAGTGGCTTGGATCCGTTCGACTAGCCTCGGAATCCACAGGTACCGCATGGTGTCCTTGAACTGCTTACTGTTGACATCGCACTTGAGTTGGTTGGCGTGCTTCTGCACGCGCGTCCTCCAGTAGTTCTTGATCTCGTTATCCGTCCTCCCAGGCAAGTGTTGTGCGATCTTCGACCACCGGTTTCCCCAGCGGGAATGGAGCTCGAGGATCATGAGCTGTTCCTCGAGGGTGATGTTGCCACGTCGGACGTCGGGCCGGAGATAGTTCAGCCACCTTAATCTGCAGCTTTTCCCTGTTCTTTTCAGACCTGTTTCATTAAAAAAAAAAAAATCGCCTAGATTCCGTGAGATTTGGTAAAGTTGGTTCACCACACGACACTTCAATAATTGATCTTGAAAGATCCCCTATCATCAAAACGAACAAACCAACAAAAATAGTATAGTAATTTTTTCCCCCGTTTGGACGGTGGTGGCTTTCTACACTTTCCCCTGTTTGATGTGATCTCTCGTTTAAAGCCGCCTCACAACAATAATCCCTTTTATAACTTAATTACACATCGTGTCAATTACTTAATTCATCATATGTACTCAAAATTGCGTGTTGGGTTGGAGCTTTCCCCTTTCTATGGACAAGCAGAGGAATTAGTTTTGGCTCATTGGTGAAGGAGTAGAAACAGAGTGATGGAGTTCTTACCGGCGCAGCGAGCGAGGGAGTTCCAGCGGCCTTCGCCATGGGCTGCAACGTAATCGATGAGCTTGAAGTCTTCCTCCACCGTCCACGGTCCACGCCGGAGGTCGCTCATCTCCTCCTCGGCGCTGAATTGGCCGCCGGAGGAAGAGGACGACGAGCTCCTCTGGCTGTTGCTGTGGCAGGTGCCTCCTCCGGCCGCCGGCGATGTGTAATTGACATCCATCGGGTCAATCAGCTTGGTTTGGCTCTTGGGTTTGGCTCAGTAAAGTGAGAAAGAGAAGGTATTACTTTCCTTTAGAGAGAGAGAGAGAGATTAGGATTAGTACAGGGGAAGACAGAGAAGGGTGGAGGGTATTTATAGCAAAGGGTGGGGCTTTGTTTAGTGTTAATTGATAAGAAGAGGGGGGGATTTGCTTTCTAGTAAGTAAAGCAGGGGGGCTTTGAACTTTGAAGGTTGACATTTTGACTTTCCAGTCCACCCTTTCTTCTCTTCATCGCTCATTCGCTCATCTCACTTTTTTTTCCCCCTCTGTTTCTTCTCTATCCTTGTCTTGTTGGATTTCCTCATTTCAAGCAAGTTGCTATGCTTCCACAGTAACAACTACTCAATTCAGTAAGAGTTCATTGCCAATGAGTTTAATGTTTGGTCATGCTAATATGGTATTATTTCAAATATTGGTTGGGTCTGAATCGAGATAAATAAGATAAAACTTGTTTATAAGACGCATAAGTTAATAAAATTGTACAATCAGCTCCACGATAGATATTAATTTTTTTGGTAAAATACACCTCTATAGCCATAACTTTGTACTTTGTGACAATAATAGTCAATTTTAAAAAAACACTAAAATAGTCATTTCGTCCATAACTTTAACGAAATTAGTATGGATGCTGACTAGACTTAACATGTTTTGATGAGGTGGCATTTTTTTTGTCAAAACAATATGTTGGGGATGTGGCTCGGGTCCAATCGCGCGAGCAAGACAGCCGAATGGAAGCAAGAGGATGACCGCAAATGGCGGAGGTATCGAGCGGCGTCGTTTTGATCCTGTTCAGACCGACGTCGTTTTACCTCACAGCTCGATCCCGCCCAGGCCGACGTCGTTTTGCATTGTCCAAAACCAGCGCCGTTTTAAGCCTCACTCAAGCCGGCGTCGTCTTGCCCTGCCTAAGACAGGGGAGGGAGATCGTAAGCATGGCGCCGCAGTCTACGAAGGAAGGGTCATGTCGTGTGTCAGGTCCTAGGAATGATTATGGCCTAAAAGCATGGCCTAAGTTCTCTGACACATGTTGTAGTCTTATCGCATTAAATACCCACTAATGTAATGTACTATAAAAGGGGCATTTACTACGGTAGGTAAGGATGGGTTTTTGGATTCTCTCACTAATAAACACTGACTTCTCTCTCTAGCCAATTTCCTCTGTAATCTCTTCCTCTCCATCGAAAGTTCTCATCAGAAACAAGTCGTCGTTACGCTTCCCTTGCCCTACTCCCCCTTTCATCACGAGCCTCACTCCTACACTCAGTTAGGCTCAAACACAATACTAGGTGGGAATAACTATTTTTTTATTTTAATTAAATGATAAAACAAATAAATAAACAAAACAAAACAAAACAACATCTCTCTCTTCCCCCCTGAAATCCCCTCCTTCCCCTGTTTTTTCTTTCTGGTTTCTTCCTCTCCGCCATCATCATCGATAAACTCGAAGGAGGAGGAGCCAACCAACCACCTCCAATAGCAGCAACAGCCAAACTCCACCCCCAATTGGAGGTATGATGTCCCATAATCACTCCTTTTGACACTTGATTCATCTTGAGTAGGGTTGCTAAACAGTTTTGCGGTAGCGGTTTAACTGGTTACCGTACAGGTAACCGACGGTTACCGGTTAAACCGGCTACCGAACTTAACGGTGTGCGGCTGGGGATTTATGTGCTGGCGGTATGCCGTTACCGAGAGGTCTTCTTACCGTCGGCGGAACGGTAATCCGACACCGAATGGGAAATCAATCCAGGCCCAGCTGGCAACTTCCCAAGACGTAATAATCCAAGTATCCAACGTCGGGCGTCGGCAAGGCCGCAACGCAAGGCAACTCTAAAAACTAAAAACCCCAAACGATCTCTAATCGACTACAGCCTACAGGCCATAATTGCATCCCCTGACTTCTGCACCGTGCACGACCGCCGTCCGCCGATCCCTCCTCCTCCGTTCATCGTATTCAACCTCGACGCATCCACCCAGGGGCACGACGGCAGCAGCAGCCCTCATCATCGTTGACTGTTTCCATCATCGTTGGCTCGTTTTCGTTGGTCGTTGCTCTGTTCCCGTCAAAGGCAGTCGTCGCCGTCGAACCCCGTCGAAGGCAGTCGTCACCGACTCACCGTCCCTTCTCCGGTTGTCCGTCCATTTTGGACTTTAGAGGTAACCTGCATAGGCGTAGCTTTGGCTTTGTGGGATGAAAGAATTATGTTAGGATGATAAATTATACTTGTTTGCTTATTGTTTGATTATTGTAATTTTGTTGATTTGTTGTTTGATTAGTGGCTTAGTGCGACTGTGAGCAGAGGAGCAGCAGTAGCCAGCTAGTGATAATTGCATCTAGTAAGAACAAGTGAACAACGTTAGACCTCCACACCATAATTGCATCTAGTAGGCTCGTAGTCGTAGCCTCGTAGCCTCGTAGTCGTAGGTAGGTAGTTTAGAGGTTTATTTAATTCAATTGTTTGAGTTGTTTATTAAGTATTAACTAATAATTATTTTGCTGTTTGCTTTTCATTTTTGCAGGTTTAGAAACTTGACAAACAAAGTACAAAAATGTAAGAGTTAGTTTGTTGTTTGCTTTTCATTTTTGCTTGATAAATTAATTAGTTTGGTGTTTGCTTTTCATTTTTGCTTTTAATTAAGTATTAACTAATTTATTAACTTGAGAAACCAAGTAAAAAAATAAAAAAATGTAAGAATTAGTTTGCTGTTTGCTTTTATTTTTTGCTTAATAATTAGTTTGTTGTTTGCTTAATAATTATTAATTAGTTGGTTGTTTGCTTTTCATTAAGTATTAACTAATTGATTAACTTGAGAAACCAAGTACAAAAATGTAAGAATTAATGTTTATGCTTTTTTTACATGTTGGCAATTTTATGATTTTTTACATTTTTTCTTTTTGTTGTAGGACGAAATCTTCTCGTCCTAGTAAAGGAGATGCTCCGAAAAAAAGTGGTTCCATTCCTCCTCGAACCACTTCCAAAAAAGTGGGTGCTCGTGTTGGAGCTGCAGAAGGGATTCAAGTGAATGTCTCATCTAGTACACCTACACCTACCAGTGCAATTACATCTCCACCTGCTACTGCACCTCCTGCAGCTGCCACGCCTACACAGGTGACTGATATGGGAAGGGGAGCAGATGAAGTGGGTGAGGCAAAGAAAATTGTGAAGGTGACAAAAAGGAAGAAGAAGTCCGTGTGGTGGACTCCTTATGATGAGGTTCTGGTGGATGACTACCCATATGGCAAATGCAAACAATGTGGAACGTTGATCAAAGCCCACTCGACCAATAACGGGACTTCTGGTTTGAAGCAACATCACTTGGCATGTGAGAGGAAGAGGAAGGAAGCCAGTGGTCAATCACTATTGAACTATCAACCTGGGGATAGTGAGGTAGGCTCTCTTACTCCATGGAAGTTTGATCAACAAAGAGCTAGAACTGCATTAGCTGTTATGATCATCTTGGATGAGCTGCCATTTCGCTTTGTGGAGCGTGAAGGGTTTAAGAGATTTATGGCGGTAACACAACCATTGTTTATGATACCTGGAAGACAGACAATAAGGCAGGATTGCTATATAATCTTTTTGGAGAAAAAAGAGTTGCTATCTGAGTTCTTCAAATCCAAATGCAAAGGTAGAATTTCTATCACCACAGATACATGGACTTCTGATAACAACCAGAATTTCATGTGTGTGACTGCTCATTTCATTGGAAGTGACTGCAAGCTGCAGAAGAGGATCATTAGCTTTGTTCTCATCACTAGTCACACAGGGAAGGACATTGCAGAAAAACTGGCAGAATGTCTACAAGATTGGAAAGCAAAACAGTTGTTCTCCATTACCATGGATAATGCTTCTTCTAATAATGTTCTTGCAGAGTGTATGAGAACAAAGATGAAAGAGTGGGGAACAGATTTGATTGGTGGGAAGTATTTGCAATTTCGCTGTGTGGCACATATAATCAATTTGGTTGTGTCGGATGGGTTGAAGGAGGTTGGAGTTGCTGTAGAAAGGGTTCGAGATTGTGTTAAATGGGTGAAGTCATCACCAGGTAGAAGTGAAAAGTTCAAATCTGCCATTGATTATCTATCAATGGATGGAAGAAGACTTCTATCTTTGGATGTTCCAACTAGGTGGAACTCAACTTATTTGATGTTGGAATCTGCAGAAAGGTTTGAGACTGTCTTTAACTTCTTGCATGGAAGCCCCAATGATTCTGCATTTCGGGATTATGTGGACTCAAAGAGAGGTCTTCCAACTAAGGAAGATTGGACCAGTATTCGACGGCTAATGAAGTATTTGAAGTTCTTTTATGAGCTCACCTTTCGGGTATCAGGTATGTGAACAAACATAACTCTTTTGTGATTCAACTTGTAATTCAAATCATTTGTGAATAATTTGTTGTTATTTTTGGATGTATCAGGAACATCTTATGTGACTGCTCATACTTTCTTTAAGGCTATTGCTGACATCTATGAAGTGATAGAACTTTTTAAGAAAGACATGGATGTAGAGATACAACAGATGGCAGCAAGAATGGAGGCAAAGGTACGAAAATATTGTTTTGAGAATGATGATGATGATGATGAGGTGGAGAACCTAAGGATAAATAGACTGGTTTACATGGCTTGTGTGCTAGATCCTAGGCGTAAAATGGTTTATTTGTATTGGATGTGGGGTAAGATGTATGGGAAGAAGAAAAGAGACGATTTGGTGAAAGATGTCACTGTAGAGATGACTGCATTATTTGAGGTTTACAGATTGAAGTATGCACCTCAACCCTCCGAGCCTACTGTTACCACTCCTAGTGCTGATGATGGTACTGGGTCTGCATCTTATGGAGGGACATTTGATGTTGAATTCTTCAAGATGAGAAAGGAGCAACTACAGAGGGGGATTCGAGGTTCTTCTGAGCTAGACATCTACTTAAGAGATGTTGATGATGGTATTAACGAGGATGATAATGATATGAAGTTTGACATCTTGCTGTGGTGGAGTAAGAACAGCGTTAGATATCCTATTCTTTCCCAGATGGTTAAGGATATCCTAGCTGTTCCAGTCTCCTCTGTTG